TAGCAAATAAAATTCAACTACTCATCAAAAAGATCATGACCAAGTAGGATTCATCCCGGGGATGCAAGGCTGGTTCAACACTCGGAAATCAAACAACATAATCCACCATATCAACAAAAGAAAAGATAAAAATCATATGATCATATCAATAGATGCAGAGAAAGCATTTGACAAGATCCAGCACCCATTTATGATGAAAAGCCTCGACAAAATGGGTATAGAGGGAACTTTCCTCAATATAGTTAAAGCCATCTACCACAAGCCTACAGCAAGCATCGTCCTCAATGGCGAGAAACTGAGAGCCATCCCTCTAAGATCAGGGACGAGACAAGAATGTCCACTCTCTCCACTGCTGTTCAATATAGTACTGGAGGTACTTGCAATAGCGATTAGGCAAGGAAAAGATATTAGGGGCATCCAGGTAGGAAAGGAAGAAATCAAGCTCTCACTATTCGCAGACAATATGATACTATACCTAGAGAATCCTAAAACCTCTACCAAGAAACTTCTAGAAACAATAGGCTTGCATAATAAAGTGGCAGGCTATAAAATCAATACCCAAAAGTCCATGGCTTTCTTATACGCAAATAGTGAGAGAGAAGAAAGTGACATGAAGAATACAATCCCATTCACAATTGTGCCCCAGAAAATCAAGCACCTAGGAATCACCTTAACTAAGGAAGTAAAGGATCTGTACAAAGAAAACTACAAAACGCTACTTCAGCAAATAAAAGAGGACACAAGGAAATGGAAAAATATCCCCTGTACATGGATCGGGAGAATTAACATTGTCTAAATGGCAATACTTCCCAAAGCACTGTATAAATTCATCTCAATCCCTATTAGGATACCCATGACATTCTTCAAAGAAGTGGAGCAAACACTCCTGAAATTTATATGGAAGAATAAGCCCCCACAAATAGCTAACGAAAATCTTGGGAAAAAGAAAATGGGAGGAATCAACCTCCCTAACTTCAAACTCTACTACAAGGCAGTAATAATTAAAACAGCATGGTACTGGAACAAAGGCAGAGCTGTAGACCAATGGAACAGGATTGAATATACTGACATCTCCTCCCAAGCATCTAATCTTCGATAAGGGGGCAAGAAAAGTGAAGTGGAGAAGGGAAAGCCTCTTTAACAAATTATGCTGGCAAAACTGGACGGCTACATGCAAAAAAAAATGGGCTCAGATCTCTGCCTAACTCCATGTACAAAAGTAAGATCTAAGTGGATTAAAGACCTCAACATCAGACCGGAATCTATAAGGTACATTGAGGAAAAAGTTGGCAAAACCCTTCATGACATAGAAGCTAATGGTGTCTTCAAAGATGTCACACCGCTGACCAAGCAAGTGAAAACAGAGATAGACAAATGGGACTATCTTAAACTAAGAAGCTTCTGCACCTCCAAAGAAACAGTGACCAAAATACAAAGACAGTCTACAGAATGGGAAAGGATATTCGCCAACTACACATCTGATAAGGGGTTAATTTCAAGGATATACAAAGTACTGGTTTAACTCCACAAAAAGAAAACATTCAACCCCATCAAAAAATGGGGAGATGAAATGAATAGAAACTTTCACAAAGAAGAAATCTGAATGGTTAAAAGGCACATGAGAAAATGTTCCACATCATTAATCATTAGGGAGATGTAGATCAAAACCACAGTGAGATATCACTTCACACCACAGAGACTGGTCCATATCCACAAGAACAAAAGCAACCGGTGCTGGCGAGGATGTGGTGAGAAAGGGACACTCCTTCACTGTTGGTGGGACTGCCGACTGGTTCAGCCCTTTTGGAAAACAGTATGGTTGATTCTCAAAAAATTAGAAATTGAGCTACCATTTGATCCAGCAATACCACTCCTGGGAATATATCCCAGAGAGGCAAAAAATTATAGTCGAAGTGACATCTGCAATTGCCTGTTTATTGCAGCATTCTTTACAATAGCCAGAATCTGGAAAAAACCTGAGTGCCCAAGAACAGATGACTGGTTAAAGAAATTTTGGTACATTTACACAATGGAGTACTATGTAGCTGTTAGAAAAGACGAAGTCATGAAATTCACATACAAGTGGCACTACATGAAAAATATCATGTTAAGCAAAATGACTCAGAAAGAAAGGGACAGACATAGAAAGATTGCATTCATCTGGGGCACATAAAGTAACAAAATAGGAAACTAACACCCAAGAATGGCCGAGATTAGTACCAGGAATTCTACTCCATGACTTGGAGGCCAACCACACACACTAGGGAAAAGGGAGCTCAGATAAAGAGGGGAACACCAAATAAAGGTGTTGGGAGGACCCTCCCAGGATGGGAGAAGCATGCTGAAAGTAGACTATAGACCAAACATGATTGCCACTCAATGTTTCTTTTGCAAACCACAACACCCAAAAGGAGAGAGAGAACAGAGGGGAATGCCCTGCCACAGAGCCAGGGTGGGATGGGGGGATGGGGGTTGGAGGGATACTGGGATGCATGGTGGTGGGAAGTGGGCACTGGTGGAGTGATGGTATTTGATCATTATATAATTGAAACCCAAGCACAATAATGTGTAAGTCTGCAACTGTACCTCATGATGTCTCACTATTAAAAATTTTTTTAATAAAAAAATTATAGAAAAATAAAATATTCTTGACAAAAAAATCATACGCTATGATAAAGATGGACTTACCTGTACAAATGATAAGAAAATGTAACTTAATATTTTAAATAGACACTTGAACAAAGCAAAATAATACACAGAAATTACAAATAAATTAAAATAAAGATGATCATTGTTCTTATGCTTCAGTGAAATAAAAAGTTCACTATAATGAAATAACAAAATAAAATTCTAACCGCCCTCTGTAATGATCCATCTATAGTATGGTATAAATGTTATAACTACTTTGGGAATAGTTTCTCAGTTTATTATAAAGTTAAATATTCATCTACTCTATTACTCTAGCTATTATGTTCACATATTTACTCAGAACTAAGACATATACTCACAAAAATCATACAATAATTTTCTTAAAATATTATAATCATAATACACCCAACTTGCAATAAAATATTGATCAAAAGGAAGTATATAAAACTATATTATGTGATACTTACATACTAGTAAGGTAAATAGCATGGTAGAACTAAATTATCACATGAATGTGGGAAAAAGAAAGTTGGAGGCGCAGATAAAATATCATTTGATGGCCCTAATATAATAGGGTCAAACACTCAAAATGAATTTAGAACTGAGGTTTTATTCATGAGGGAACTGACTGGGTATAAGTAAGAGGAAGCGTTGGGAAAAATCAGTCAACAAATTAATGTGCCATTCTTTCAATAATTTTAAAGAGTGTCTCCTTTATATGTCTTAGGAGTCAATTAATTTCACAATTTTATTTACTCATTTCCTTCATTTGGCTCTAAGTTTAATGGGTAAAGAACATCTGAAGTTCAAATAAAATATAATTACCACATTTTCCCAAGTCTCTCACAAGATATGGAAACAATGTGATTTTAAAATTATTTTTCAATATGATTAAATTACTGTAGCATGCTTTCAAAGGAATTCAGAACATGCTACCCCAATCTGCTGTTCTGGCACATTGACTACTTTTAGTTAAACGTACAAAACAGTGAAAAAAAAGATAACATTACATTTCCTCATTGAATATCTTAGGTCAACCTTGATCTTCGGATATAGGGAGAAGACAGAGAAAGAACAATAAGGGGGAAAATGAAGAAAATGAGAATGGGAAGTAATGGGTTGAGGTTTCAGTTATACCGCTGATGTGGGTTTAGCTATATATTCAAAGCACAGAGTCAACAACACTGAAAAGATGAGATCTAAGCTGCAGTCACCGAACTTTGTAATGTGCATGTCAAGTTGGTAGGTCAGGGTTGTCATGGGAGATCATGGGACCACGGGAGGAGGGAAGTTGACACTAGGGGAAGGATTGGTGTTGAAATATTGTGCCTAAATCTCTGCTATCAATTACTCTGTAAATTACAGAACAGTAAAATAAATTAAAAAATAATATAAAAGATGGATGCTGGTCCAGAGCAATAGTAGTGGGTATGGGGTTTGCCTTGCACACAGCTGACCCGGTTATGCCAGGAGTAATTCCTGAGTGCAGAGCCAGGAGTAGCCCCTGAGAATCTCTGGGTGTCACCCAAAAAAGCAAAGGTTTAAAAAAAGATGGATGCCACAATCTTTTTTTATTCCATTTAGAAACAGAACATAAAATTCCCATGTGAAAGATACCTTCCCTGTCCCAAGAGAGCAACGTTCTATCTCAAGAATAGGAAACGGGCCAAATGAAAAGTACACTGACTTGTCACACTAAACCCTGTCTTTACTAGTCCCTTTGCACTCTGCTGTCTTCCTACTACTCCGTTCAACACAATATATGTGCTCAACTCGAACCCCTCCTTTGGGCTATTAGTTTTTGTGTGAAGATTCCCATATACATACAGAAAAAATAAACTTTTATGTTTTTCTCCTGTTAAATGGATTAATGTCAATAATGTCAATAATGTCGGACTGGAGGAATAGCACAACGGTAGGGTGTTTGCCTTGCATGCAGCTGGCCTGGCTGAGCCGGGTTCGATTCCTCCGCCCCTCTTGGAGAGCCCAGCAAGCTACCGAGAGTATCTCTCCCACATGGCAAAGACTGGCAAGCTCCCCGTGATGTAAAGGATATGCCAAACATAGTAACAACTAGTCTCACAATGGAGACGTTACTGGGCCTCCTCGAGCAACAAAATGAAAAATGGGAGAACAGTGCTACAGTACTAGTCAATAATGTCAATTTAACACTAAGACCTGCTGAAGACTGTCAGAGGATAGGGTTTAAATTTTTCCTTCTCTAAACTGAAATATGTAAACATTTTTGTAAATGTCATTAACAGATATATTCAAAACAACTTTGCCTTATTTTACCAAACAAAATATCAGAAATGTCTTTATAATATATATATATATTAGTCTAAACTTACCAGAAAGACAATTGTTGCTGACATCTAGTTTTTCCAAAGATATAAAATGAAAAAGTGGTGCTATCTTTGTCAAACTGAAAACAAAACATATATCATAAAAATGTTTATATACTGTCCTTATAAATGACTTTAAATAAGATGTAACTTTATATAGCAATAATTTATGATTATAATATAGCATAATAATGTGTTATATAGTTTACTTATTAGTAATAAAGATATATATTTTTTATATAGTAACTGACTATAAAATGGAGAGTATTCGATATGCCAGACACAGTAACAACAACTATAGATTTATCTCATATAATTATTTTCCATTATATACATTAGTTATGCAATGTGTGTGTCTAATACAACTGCAACAATCATTCCAAGTATTTTTTGATTTAATAATTATAAATTTCTAAATATTTATTTTGTTTGAAATGTTCATTTACATATCAAACTTATAATAAATTATAAATACTAATTGCAAATATTAATATTAATGTATATCAGTATGCAAATATTTTTAATATTGTATAGATTTTTAAATTTTGTATAGATTTGTCATGTTAAAAGAAAAAATTGCAGGCAATCTGTTATATCTTTATGTAGATTTCCTGAATGAAAACTATAGTCTCTAATTTTAAGAGAAAGCAATTATTTTCACTTTTCAAGAAAAAATCATCATCACCTTTAACAATAAAGATTTTGTTTACTAGATTAAAAATACACAAAGTATACAAAGTTTCTCTAGGGTTATTTCTACAGTATATTGTGTACTATATACATATGCTCACTACATAAATAATCCATGTAATACAATAATAGCAAATGTTTTGTACCAACAGAAAGAACTTAAATTTAGCAGAAATATACTAACAATTATTATTAATGCATGCATGCTTAAATTCTAATATTAAACTTTTGTCTTTCTTTTAAAATTTCAAATATTTTAAGTGAAATTGTCATTATAAAACCATATTCAAGCAAAGAAAGCATGTGATGGTTAAATACACATCAAAAATAAAAAAAAAACTATGTAAAAACTTAACTTTAGCTTGATTCGCAATAAAATATACATTCTCTATGTATAAAAAATTATTTTTTTAAAGTGATCTTTTCTCCTAATTGTTGGGGATGTGTAACTGATCAAATACGCTTTGAGTAAAGTACCACTTCTGATATTAAAAAATATGCATTGCTTTTCATTTATTTCAAATTTTTGATTCTTATATGGTCTTTCCAGTTGTCATAGCAGAGGCTTTTACATCTTTATTTTGGCCAAAATACACTGCCATGGAAAAAATTCTATTATTGTAAGGTCAGAAACTCACTGAATAATACTGTGACTACAAGTCTCCTGGGGTTTGGAACAAAAGTAACCTTTTTATTGACCTTGACTCCTCTCATGTACTAACCTGTTCTGCATTAGCCAAGAGACAGAAGATACTACTGATAAAAAAAATAGACTAAATAATGAGGCTGAAGAAGATCTACCTGAGTGTAGCCAATACTAAGTACATATTAGTCCATATACAAGTCTAACAACACAACTTCTTAAAGGCAATTTCTATAGAAAAAGAACAAGATATAAAAGAATGAAACAGCTAAAATCTTGGTCATTGTATTTATACATAATTATTATTTAATTGTTTGTACAGAAAATCCCTGATGTAATTTACTAAATTGTGACATACTGGAAGAGAAGAGTGAGTGAGAGAACGGGGAAAGTCAAAGCTTTGCTGAAAGTGAACTTAAGTTCAAATTTTGTGATATTTTCTACATAGAAATGTTCTAGATAATTATTACACATAAATAATTTAAACTCAAGTAAATACATATTTATAATTATTCCATTTATTTAATATTTTTTACTTTTAGTACAATTATACTATGCCTGTCTCTAAAAAAATTGCTAAATGGATAATACATCTCATGGTTTTGACAATAAGATGGCAAAATATAGGCCACATACAGGTCTTATGGTGATATCAGATAAGAATAAGTAATAATGCTTTAGAAACAAAAATAAAAATACTCCTAACAAAAATAAATCCTTGAAAGAAAATATTTTATTGCAACAAATACTTCTGCAATACCAAGATACTATCTTTTCAGATAATCATGACCTGAAATCACATTATTTTTCATTTATGAATTTTAATCAAGAAAGCTAGCTATTCATTCACCTTTATGACTATTCATAAGGATGGTAGAAACCTAATAGTAAAATCTGTTTCTTTAAATCTCTAGAATTTTTCCTTTTACTAACATTCTGTGTATATTTTTTCCAAGAAAATTCAAACCAGAGAGACAAAGGACATTAGTGAAAACCTAATACCATTTGACCTTGTCACATTAGCCCTGGGCATAAAAAAGATATAAATTTCAAAGACGACAAAAAGCAAAAGATTTGTACAATGAGAAGCCAATGGGTAATAGTTTCCACTTTCTGCTCCTACTTAGGATCTCACTGGAAGTAGAAAGGCTTGTGAAGCCAGAGAGTCTTCCAGTTAAAACTCCTCTGAGTCAAACTTAAAACAGTCACATGTTCTAATGAAAATTTAAAACAGAAGTCAGGATGAAACAAGTATTTCAAACAATATGTAGTAAGTATCATTCTTTATATGTATTTCATTTGTTAGAGAAAAAAGCATATGGACTCATAATTTCTTCCTTGTGATGAAAATATTTATCAAAAATTTTAACATATAGATTGTATAAATATACATATATAAATACAATTCAAATTACATATTAAGCACAAAAATATCACATTTATAAAACTCTCAACTTTGCAACATGTAATAACATATTTCATATTTAGATCATCATAAAATATAACAAGCAAGTATTTCTGTCTCTTTTACAGGTAAAAGAAAACTAGATTCAGGCTGTGAAAACTTTTTTCCACATCAACCAGCAGGTAATATGTACAAATACAATTCAAACACATATCAACAGATTATAAGATTTTCTAAATCTGCTATTGCTATAAAAAAAAAAGTCAAACAAACTGTAAAGGCTTAATGCAAAGTGGATAATGCTAACAACTAATAATTTTAGTTCACTTTTTATAAATCCTAGAATAAATATTAATTTTATGGTGTAAGTGTAGTTCATCCCTCTCCATCATATTTCCTTGGTGCCCTTAAACCGGCTTCCCTAACCGTTTCAGAAAGTGACAAAGCAAATTTTACAGGCAGAGTCAGAAGAGATCATCAATTAATATATTCAGGCATAAATGATAGCATTATCAAAATATTCAAAACAACATGTTATATTTTTATCCTTTAAAAATTATAGCTGAATTCAAAAGATTAAGGTTTTCTATACCTAAGAGTGTTTCAGGTCAGGAATACTACATTGCTCATTTGCATAATCTCCAAAATTGTAACTTCAACCATCTCAATAAGCAAATAAAATTAAAAACATCATTTTTATTTAGTATTCAAATAATTATCAAGATTAAACATTTACTGGTCTGATTATATAATCTAATTATATCATGTTGATATGAGAAATGTCACATGACATTTCAAGGGTAAAAGTCCATCAACCATATTAATCTAAATTTTTAAAACGATAATATTCTTTGAATAACTAAACCGGTCCAAATTACTTTAAAATTTTCTAGATCTAAATATTACATGATCATTCTGTGTTTGTTATATGATAGATATGTTGATTACTGAGTGATTTAATACATACATCCGGAGCCCAGCTGATTAGTTCTACTGAAATTATATTTCTTACTTGGAAAACACTGTAATCCAATGAGTTTGAAAGTGGACCATATCACTTTTGTTGTGTTTTTTCATTAAGATGGCTCTGAAATAAATGTCTTTATAACCAAATCAATTTTTATATTTCAGAATTGATTAAAATAATCCTTGGTAATTATGAATACATATTCAATTTTTATAAGTCAAACTGGAATACTTTAATTGAAGTTAAATTATTTCAGATATATATGTTCAAATTATTTCATATATATATTTTCCAAGGATGAATGCTATTATGACAGAAACAAAGGAAAAATATGTTTTAGGGGAAAAAATATATATATAAACTTGGTTGCCCTTGTTCATGTATTCTACAAGAATTGTGTAACTTAAAGGAGCAACAATTTCTTGTAAAATGATGGTTCCTTTTCCTATTCCATGTGCCTTTGATGAACAAATTAATCATATTAGAATGAGTAGGATTCAATGAAATATTAAGCGGTGGGAGATATATACATATTGTGCTCCTGTTTTGGTTTTAAACAGTTTTTCTCTGCAAAGATCCAGATGTTTGGTGGTTTCAAATGGATCTTCTATGGCAGGTACACATTTCATTTAATGTTAAGATTTTTTTTTTTAGTGTTACTTTATATCCTTAGGGAAATCAAATTTAAATCAATCTTAACAGTTACAAAAAGACATGCAAGTTGAGAGCAGATTAAAAATCGTTCTTCCAGGACTTAATAAGTACCATTTGAGAGAATGAGACATCCTTCTGAATTAAATTAACTACCTCCCCTATTTTCCTAAGACTATATTCTTTACAAATATAAACAAACCTCCTGTCAGAGATTTCTAAAAGTACATCTCTGAGAAGAAACAAAATAACAAGAAGAAATTGACAGTTAAAATTTTACTAAAATTTTAAGGGTATGTCAACATACTGACTTTTAAAACTCCTCAAGTTAATAATTATAATTTATAAACTAATTGAGACACACTCTCATAGAATTACTGGGAGAAAGCTAAAAACTTTTCTATGAAAAGCACAACTTAGTTTAATTACTCACTGCATCTACTGTTTAAGAAAAATACTTACCTGTTTTGAGAGAGAGAGAGGTTTTGTAATAAAGGCAGCCAATATGAGGAAAACGCTTCCACAGTTGAAATACTATTATCATCCAAGTTCAATTCTCTTAGTAGAACATGATTCTCCAGAGGTGGAAGCTATATTTAAATTTGGTACATTAACTCATAAAAACCAAACATCTTAAAAATTAAACCAAAATTTAAAAGCATGAAATTTAACCACAGATTTATTTTAGTAAACTACATAAACCAAATACATGTCAAAATATCTTAAGTATTAATAAAATTTCTAATAATTAACTTCATAACTTGAATTGTATAATTTATTTCATGGTCAATTCTAATCAGACTTTCAAGACAGATAAATTTGTTTCAATAAAATATTAAAATATACCTTTAAAATTCGAATTCAACTTAGCATTATAAAAATCCATTGCCAACTTATATGTCCTCATATTTATGTTGAAGTTTTTTTAAGTATATAAAAGTTCAAAATAAACTAAAATCAAATGTATTGAAAAACTAAAAAATAAATGAATCAAAAGTATTTAAATATATTCAATAGACGTGTCTATCAAAAGGGAAATGCTCTATTATTTAAGGACATTTAATAACTCAAAATAATTACCTCACTTAGATAATTTCCTTGTAATTTCAATACTTGGAGCAATCCACAGTTTTCAATACCCTCTACTTCAGTAAGATTGTTATGTGAACAATCCAGATAGATGATTGTTGGAGAATCAGAAAGACCTTTTGTACTGATTAACTGATTGTGATTCACAATTAGTTGCTGAAGATTTCTCAAAGATTCTAAACCAGCTGGAACATAAATTTTACAAGATCACTTGAATTATACATTCTTTCAAACACAAAAGGGAAGATTCATTTTTTCTCTAAAAATTGAAAATCTAGAAATGTTATTTAATTTAATTACAATATAATATGTGATCTGTGTAGGTACTATCATTTTACAAATATAAGTCACCTGTCCCAGGTGATAGGGAACCCGGGTCAGGGGAAGGGAACATTGGTGGCACAGTTGGTTTGGAACACTGTATTACTAATACAACTCTGTTATGAACAACTTTGTGAGTCATGATGTGTTAATAAAAAATATGAAAAAAATAAGCTTTTGTGCCAAATTCCCACAAATATCATCGTCAAATAAATGCTGGGATAGAAACAATTTTAATAATAAAATATTTGATAATTACTTGAAAGACGATCTTTTGAAAGAAACATAATTACATGTAGAGCTATTATCTGGCTCTGTGATAAATTTATTCAGGAGTAATATAAAACATTTTTAAACCAACATTTGTTCTTTGGTTGCATGTAATAAAATTTATAAAAGGAGGCCAGGCTACTTGTAGCACATATAAAGAAATAAAGGAAATATAACAAGTATAATTATTAGATCTTTAAAGAAAATTTAATATTTTATTATGTTATTAAAATTCAGATAATATATAACAGTGCTTTGAATGTATTACCAAAGTATATACCAAAATTCATGATTCAGACAAATTAAAAGTATCTAGTAATATAAGTCAAGTTAAGTAATAACAATGTGGATGGTTATGTTTTAAATATATTTTTAAGTATGTGTTTAATGGAAAACAATTTTGTTTAATAGATTCAGGAAAATACTTAGAATACTCCTAAATTAAAATAGACAACTAAATTTAAATTCAATCTTTTTTTTAAAGTTTTTAACTCATTTAAAGTTTTCTTATAATCAAGAAATTTGAAAGATCAAGGGCCTTAAAATTTAAATTCTTATAATAAACAAAAATTATGAATAATCATCTACTGTTATCAGGCACAAACTATCATACAAACTTTTTACTAAATTAAAATAATTCATATCAATAATAAATTATCAATTTCAAGAGATTTGAAATAGTACATTACAAATAAAATATATTTTTGTTATAATATAAAGTCTGCTGAAATAGAAAATATTTTAGTTTAAATTTAGTTTATACTAAATAAACTAGTTTATTTAGTTTAGTATAAATTATGATTATATGTGATCACATCATACGTGATCAAGTGGATTATCTGCCTTAAGGCTAATACTTTTAATGTTTATTCGAATTGCATTTGCTTGTCAGAGCTGAGTAAAAACAGAATTTTTAATGAACTCATTAGAATGCACAATGCATTGTGAAAGTTTTCAAACATCACCCAAGAAGAGATTAAGAACAGAAATTAAGCTTACACGTTCAGAAAAGGCAAAGGATTGAACACAAGAAGCTGAAAGAAAATGGCAGAAAAATTAGAATCCGAGAGAGAAAGGGAAATGGAATTTTGTGATGAAGTAGTGGTTAGTAAGGATAAACTTATAATATACAGTTTACAATGTCTAAAAGCATTCTTAGTTGCACTAAGCAGCATGCACTCAACAATGTGTTTTGGAACAGGCAGAGGGGTATGAATACCCCACTGCTTTGGAAGTGTTGGAAAAACTAAGGATTTTTGATACTGGCTTTGGTAGCAAAATGAGGATGGAGGCTACAGTGTAGTGGTAATGGCTGAAAAACTCATGTGGACTATTCTTTAGTTTTTCTTAGAGAAAGTCTACCAAAATCCTTTCAATGGAAAGAAAATTCTATGCAATATTTCATTCCCTTTCTGGACACATCATTTACTACTGTCCTCTTCCCTTAGTTATTCTAACATGCTGATGACCTTCTTATAGTTCCTTAAACACCCAATATGTGCTTCCATGATTTTCAATTAAGAAACAGGCAAATGTATTCAACAATTCATTGGAGATTCTAATAGGGTGAAATGACGATTATTTCAAAAATCAATGTTTGAAATTTATTTCAAATTCTGCTTTGAAATCTGTTTCAAAAATTTATTTCAACTCTTTGAGTACTATTTGCTTTTCTACTTCGTAAAATCCATTATATAGTAATACCACACCTATAAACTATCATCTAGAGATATTCTTTGTTTATCAGTTAAAAACTAGTAAATGAAGACAAGTTAAATTGAAGACATTATTTAAACACAAATACCAGTTATATGGACAAGTAAATTATCCAGCATTCATATATAAATATGCATTATATTCAAAATATTAAGTAGTCCAATATTACATGTTACTTCACATGAAACCTGTTTCAGAAATAGGCCTATAGGCCTTTCAGCCTTTCAGTATAGTTGTATGTAGGACCACTGCCAATGTTTCCCAGAACACTACCTGGACTGAACTGTAAGTGCAGTCAGGAATAATCTCTGAACACCACCGTTTGTTGCCCAAAACAAGACAAAACAAAAAAAAAGTACACCTAAATCTAAATCTACATATGTAATTGTGTTGCATAAACAAAATCTGGATTGATAAATAAATATCAAGAGTGGATATCTTGCTAAATAAAAAGAAAGAAACAGAAAAGATTCCCTGCTTACATCATATACCTATTTTAAAATTATTTAAATGAGAGTATTTAAAATTATGTGAATCATATATTTAAAAGTACTTGTCTTAAAATTATCTAAATTATTAATTCTTATATAATATTTAAAACATATATTTGAGAGAACTAGACCAAGTGTTGAATATTAGAGCTATACTTATTCAATCATCACCACTACCAAAAAAAAATATATGAAACTGAAGACATTCTTAAGGAAAACCTGATGCAATTACCCATCAACATTGGCATATTGGGGAAACCCTGTTATACTGCCAAAGAGGAGAAACACTAGATAGAGCAAGGAATACCTCATAAATTTTAAGATGAATGACTTAAAGAAAAATCTATGAAACTATAAGAAGGATATCCCATGGTATTAAAACACTAAACTAACTATAATGGTGAGTTGGAATGTTCATAGAAAAAGTTAATAGTGATTGTATAACATAAAATTTAGTCTAATGAGTAAAAAAGAATAAGGAAAGCATCCAAAAATGGATAGAACTGAGTAAGACTGGAGTAGTTCAATCTACAGTGTCATTAAACCTTGGGCTAAAGGAAGTTCCAGCTGAAATGTGTGACTGCAACCTCTTGAGAAACCTTAAATAACAACCACCCAGCTTCAGGTTCCACAGAACGCACAGTTCACAGAATCTCATAGTCCACAGAATGTGAGGTAAGAAATATTTGTGGTTTAAAACTGGTAAATGATAGTTGTGTACAATACTGCACATTCACATACACCTATAGAAAAAAGGAGTCTATCCTGAAAAAAATAAAGAACATGAGACAGAAAATAGGTTCAAATGCTTTAAGCTATGGAAGAATATTTCAACAAAATTTAGTGTCTTAAGTTCAAAAGTATTGTAAATAGACCAAAATAGCATCACGACAAAACTAACAAATAATTAAGAAAGAATGTTTTACAGAATAGATAACTACAATTTAAATTGTCTACATAAAGTACTAATCACAATAAAGATGAAATGCAAAGAAAAATAGACTATATGGATTAAATGCTAAATAATGATAGACAAGAAAGAGAACAATATCAATCAAAATATGAACAGGAACTGGGAACCTGGGTGTCCTGGTTTCAATCCCCAGCACTGCATTGGGTCCCTGATCACCTTCAAGATTCCTAAACTCAGAGACAGAAGTCCTGCACACCACCAGGTGTGGCTCAACTCCCTACTCTCCAAGAAAGAAAAAATAAAATATGGATCATTTGTGATGAAAATAGAATCATGCTAAACTATTTTTTTAAAGATTACAAAACAAAAACACTTCCAGAAATGAATAATTAACTCCATAGCTAAAAAAGAAAATAAGATTTCAAGAAATTTTATTGTCTGAATGAGTTAACAAGTTTGCTAAGTTACAGATCAAGGACAAAGAAAATGCTATTCAGATATTTAGATGAAAATTAATTCTGAGGAGAAAAAGTTGAGCTAGTCTCACTGTTTACAACATAATATCATATATGTATTGCACAATTTTCACAAAGCTCTAAGTGAAAGCTTTACCTCACATAGAATGCACAGCTATATTCTTATTCCAGTGTGAAGGCAATGAAAAGATGTTCCCTAATGTGAAAGAATTCAGGGAGTTCATTGGCCCCCTTCTTTGGAAAGTAAGATTTTAAAAAAAAAGTTACTAGGTAAATACTGACAAGCCAAAGGATGAAAGGAGGAATTGTTTTCAGGACAGGGAACAATTCATTTCTCTACAGTCCTAATGTTGCTAAAGGATATACAAGATCATGAATCCTGATGTGAAGTCATTAATCTTGATGTAAAAGAAGGGAAAATGAATGAAAACAGTGTAAAAATCTATTATTTTTTTCTATTTTCTCATAGAAGTGTTAATCAAAAGTGTATTTTAATAAAATTGCCAAAAACTTGACAAGACTGGGAGGAAGAGATGTCCGTATAAATGAAACATTAGCATGTTTAGTATGAGGAATGAGGAATGTAAGAGTTAAAAGTTCTGTTCACCTAATTTCCCACTCTACTACTTAACAGTGATTTAAGTTTTCATCCTTTTTTTTTTTTAAGATTTCCAATTCAAGCAAATTATTTTCAGGAAAAATTGACTAAAAATAAAGGTTTCTAGTCAGTAATTCAAATATGTGTGGGTACTGTGCAGATTGTATTGCTATAATTTAAGAACTGTATTATTTATTCATATATTCAAACAAAATTTTAGTTGTAAATCATTGCAATCTTTTAAAATGTAAACTGATGCTTTTAGTAGGGTAGCTCTGGGCTCCTAATCTCAAAAGCAGTTTTAAAGTGCTAGCTAATTTTATTGTTGTTGTTGTTAATGTTAGTAAATAAAATATCTACCTGAGTGACCCTGATGCCACCAAGCACTGAACAGCACAGA